AAAAGGTGCATACAAAAGTGCCATAAATTAAATGTATAAAGAGTGCGAAATTAATATGAACAGGTTGCGGATTTTTACTTATAGTACTTATTGTACGAAAATAGTGCGAAACGCAAGAAATGTGCTGATTTAATTAGGAAAATGTTCGGAATTAATACAGAAAAAATGGGAAAGTATGTGGAAAATGTGTGAAAGTAGTGCGTAATACATGCGGAAGCGTGCGCATGTCGTTTTGAATGTATAGAAGTAGTGCGAAAAGGAAAATTTGCAGAAAAGTGTAGGTGTAGAACAGTACCAAATGCGAAGGATCACTTTGTGGCATAAATGGATAGGCTAAATAGTGCTATTTTGTGATTTTAGTTGCAAAGAACCATTGCTGAAACTAGTCGACGACGATGTTTATGAATTTCTGGATGATAGAATTTGGTTAATTTCTGACTTTACGTTAGAACATCTTCCATAAAAAGGTATGTAAAGTAAAAATAAAAATAATTTTATGTTATTAGATCCTGAGGAGAATTATTGAGTTTATTTAGAAATCAGTTTAGTCAGCTGTCATTATAATGGTAATGAAAAATATTGCCTTTGCTGAAGTAAAAGTGTCGTATTAAGATACAGTCGACCTCGCGCTTATTCCTCACTTGATGCATTAATTTTATACGAAACGCTACCGTATCTCTTGAAAATGTGATCAGTTTGCTTCATTTTTGTCTCATCATGAAATATTTCTTCTGATTGTATGCTCTAATGAGAAATAAAAAGTAGTAATCAATTTTAATGAACAAGTACATTTATCAGATAAGTAGTTTCCGTATACTCGAAGAGAAAACGTTACGTTGCAATAACTAATTTAAAATATAACGATTGCCATATGTTTTGTTATCTATTATTATCCGAAAAGATATATTACAAAGGTATTCATAAATTCAAGGTATATTACAAAGGTATTCATAAGGCAAATTAAATTCTTATTGTTCTGAGCAAGCCGCAAAATAGCAGCGGCTTGATATAACCGCTTGATACGGTAGTCACTCAATTAAATATTAATTTCCGTTAATTTTAATAAGCAAGACAAAATAATCTCATTAAAACAGCGAGAAAATTACGATCATGACGTTCTAATAACTGTAAAATCGTATAAAAAAATACGTATTTAATTCAATTTTTTTTATATATGTGATGTTAAATAGTATGTTAATTAAAGTTCTTTTGCTTAATATAAATATCCATAAACATTAATTTATTAATTGTTATAAATTATTTTTTCGTGTGAAGTCAAACGTCATAGTAAATAAAAGAGTTATCGAATATTTCATTCTCCATACGACGTACTATTCTTTGCATCGAGAAATGTGTTTTACTTTTAGTATTCCCATAATATTTCGTTGTACAAAATGAAATTTGTTCTTTGTATTATTTACTTTTGTTACTTACTTGTAGAATATTAGAACGCAATATTTTTAAACGACTCTATTTTGTATGATTATTTAATATTGCTTATTATATATGTAATGCATTCAAAGAGAGAAATATAAATAAATTTTGTATAACTGATAGTTGTGTTATACAAAGAGACATTTAAGGCTCTGCTACCTCCGCATAGAAAGTCAGAGTTGACGGTGGCGCCTAGCAGTGTTGAGAACATGAAATAACCGTGTCAGCGTAGCTGATTGGCTGACACTAGGCTAGACTCACGTTAGGTCTCGCTTGACATCTCGGAAAATTACTTGCATTTTATCGCATTGTTTCTCCGTGAAATGTGTATATTATCGTGATCCTCACAGCTGTAAAATATGCAGCAAACTCAGTGATATTGGTGATACATTGTGAAAATCGAGAAATTAAATGTGTCCATACAGGCTGGTATCTTAGCTGTCAAACCACCGTGACAGTCGAAAAATATAGCATTATTTCAGGAATTATTTTACGATGCTACGTGATATATCAGCCAGATATATGAGTTTGCTGTACTTCTTACAGATTTCAGAAGATTAGAAAAATATTTAGTCCCTCAAGAAAAAGTAAAAAATAAAGCAATAAAATGCAAGGAATTTTTGGTATGTCATTTCTCGCTTTTAACGTCATCAAACCAATATGGTCGCTTCAGAAGTAGCAGAGCCTTAATCTTATCGCTTCGTAGGGAAACCTCGTAAAAATCAGGCTTTATTATAGCCTGTCTATAGATCTGTCTATAGAACTTTATGCTTCCACGAAAGTTTGCAAAAGTTGGCAACAAAGTTTATCTTAGCTTTACACACTAGCAAAAAATATTCGCTTTTTATGCGCTAGCAAAAAATATTCGCTCTCGAGGTAAAGATTCACTAAAGCGTTTTTATGTGGCAAAGTTTGACATATCGCAAAAAATAAGAACTTCAAATGTTACTGCGAACGAATGGGTTTTTCTCTTCGCTTAGAATAACCAAATCCAGAACTCTATTGCTTAGAAAGAAGAGATAATCGTAATCCTTTGTTTCTAAAATATAACCGTAATCCTTTGTTTCTAAAATTAACTTTGGAAACGTTACATAATAATTATATAATAATTGCTACATAATTATTACATAATAATAAGAAAAATATTTATACAAATAGAAATAATGTACAATTAGTAAAATATTTTGAACGTTTCAAGTTTTATTTTAAGAAAGTGATGTTTGGACTATTATTTTTCGTACACTTATATGAAATCTATATAATTATATAAGATGTTACTTTTTTCTGCAATTTACTTTTATTAGATTTACATTGCATGTTTGCCTTCAGCCACCAATGTCTATATTTACTACGCATATGGCTTAATCCTAATACTCCTTTAAGTTTTTGTTAGTCCAAGTTAAGATTTATGATTAAAGCGTAAAATTTCATTTTCAGACTATAACGTATAAATGTAACTGGTACGATTTGCTGAAGACGGAAAAGACTTGATGATTATAGTATAATAACTTACGATTCTACTTAGATGCTAGCTGAAGAATTAGACACTTTTTTAGAATTAGACTCGTTAGAAAAGTTAAAAACAGTAAAATATCTATGAAAAGAATACATAAATTTTCGTGCAGTTAATGCGATAAGAAGAATGTCTTCTTTATATAATAGTCACACGGGGAAGTGCATACTGCATTAAAAAAATGTATTACTTGTTTAAAATTTTTCATAAATTCATACATCCGTAAATCTGTCATAAATTCATCTAAATATCTAAATATAAAAAATTTGTTAAAAATATATTCTGAATTTCACTAAGTTTAGCATTTTAATTAAGAATATTAAATTAAAACAGAAATTCGATTAATTTACTACATAGAATTGAACAAAACTTTTCTGTAATAGAGTTTTATAATATTCCGGTAAAAAGAATAAATCCTTGTTAACAAATTTTTTTAAAATTTGGAATAAGTATATTTTAAGAATATTATCAAGAAAATATTATTTATTAAAAATAGTCATTACATAAAAAAAGACAAACTGAATAATCGCTTTTTTTAGGTTGATATCTTTCCCTGTTCATTGTGTGTTTAATTTTATTGTTCTGAATTATGCATTTTGGATGCTAATTGTTTATCATTACTGCACATAAAATTATAAATAAAAATAGGTTTATTCTTTATTCCTTCTATAATTGATTATTCACGATTTACCCGTTTCATAATCAATAAATGGCTGAACATGTTTATGTGCATTATTATATGATTTGTTATGAAGAAATATAAATTTCTGTATAGTATAAGTTGTTTATCTTTAAAAAAGGATGAAGTAAGATTATTTGTTTTTTTTGCTTCATGTTTGGAGCATATTAGTTAAGGAATTTATTCATTTTGTATATATTTTCAAGGCGCCCAGGAGCATATTTTTAATGATGCATCTGATAATAAAGCTATTTATAAGTTCACTATTTAATGAAAAAATTACGTTTTCACTTATTCATTTCTTTATCTAAATAATTTATGCTAATATAAAACTAATGTCATGATACTACTTCTTGCAACGTTTCGATTGATACAATGTTCTATTATAAGCATGAAATAATATTTTTCTGGCCTACAATCGATGATTACACAAACACAATATATTGAAGAATATTCTTTCTTCTATACAATGTTTTCTAGTAGGTAAGATTTATAATTTTAAGTTTTTTATTTTGATGATATCACTTTGATATCATCAAACTTATAAAGTTACACTGTAATAATGGTCATGTATATTGTTTTTTCGTAAAGTTAAGTGTAAAATTGCTCTAAATTTGGTACAAAGCTTCTCATAAATTACGTGCAAACTGCGTGAGACTTTAACTACGAATGTGTTTTACTGTAATAAATGTTGCGTTAAATTTTTGTATAATTTGAAGATATTTGTTTTAAGTGAATAAATTTTTTAAAACAAGCGGTTTATTTTATTTCGTGAATTACAGAAATAAAGCGTTGGGTGACATAATGTTACAATTGCATCAAAGCGAAATCGCATCCGTGCTTTGCAATAATAATAAAAAAATCGCTACTTATAGAATAGACAAGAAAGTGATTTCTTAAACACTGATTCAACTGTTGAATATTCGAGTTTCACACAAACTGTACGGATAACATGTGATCGTTTGTGAAATTGAACCCGATATGATGTAAAGTAACCGTCTCAATTGTTAAATGTGTTTGTTAAAAGTTCACCTGTGTTTTAATAATTTGTGTTCTTTCGTTTCATTACGAACGCGTGTGCAAATGAGTGAATATACCAAAAATAACAATCTCGAATGTGATAATATTAATAAATTATTACCTTCGTGGAGTAAGCTCGATCGTGGTTGCAGAACAAGTGTCTTCTTTGTAATAGCTGATCAAACGTATGGCGATTGTGCGATATTCATTTCACTCCGTATTCTTATACGAAAGGGTTTACAGATAGTATAGGTTGAAGTCTTTCCTGTACTGAGCAAGCGCGAAATCATGGCAATTCGGTATGATCGTACGGAGTGATTCAGTCAAACGATAATTTCCACTCAGTAAACTTCAATGGATGTCAACAAAGGTAGAGAAAATCTTGTAAAAAAGAACAAAGAGAACACCGTAATGTTATATTAAACTTATGTAATCGTGTTGTGGAAGAGTTATATAACGCGATGCAGTTTATGTGTGTGATTGCTAATATGTTGAGTAAAATTTGTTATTTCGGGTGGCATCTTGGTGAAGGATAATCATTACAAATTACTATTTATACAAGACAAGAAACGTAATAATATTAATCAAACTAAAAAAAATATTGATATTATCGAGTTAACTCTTAGTAAATGTAGTTTATCTCTAAAAATTCTTTAATATTTTAATATGTGTGTGTGTGATTATTATAACTTATTATATATTTTATATTGTAGCTCAAAAGAACACAAGATAGATTTTCGTTTTATCTTGTTGCTGTTACTTATTGAATACTTCTTGAGTAATGGAAAACAAAAATGTTATATTTATATAATTGACATGATTAGCCAATAACTAGTTATTTATATATATATATATATATATATATATATATATATAGTTAAAAAGTTATTAACTATTCATTTAATTTAATTAATTTTAAATGAGTTGACTTTTTTAAACTAGTCTTTTCTAAATTCATTAACTTATTAACATTAATGTATTAATTTTTTTTTTGTTGGATGTGATGATATTAAAATTATTTCGGGCTACACAAGAATATATAAGAAGAATTTAAAATATTTCCAACGGATTTTTTCTTTGTATCTTCGAGCGCGTGTTTTTTTCTTATTTTAAGTTATATCGAGCGCAAAACACAGTTGGGGATGTTTTCTTATATACGCCTACTTTTTTTCATGATTTCATATAAATTTAATTACGATTAATTATCCAAAAATATTAATTACACCAAAAATATATGATATTGCTTTGCGTAAATAATTTTTAACTTCAATAAGTTAATTTTGTAAATTATTAACTTTAGATTTAATTTAGTTTAAAAAGGTGTCAATTTATTTAACTTTAATAATTGATGATTAAATTTAAGATGTAATTTACGCTGTATATCTTTGGGAAACTCGGAAAAATCATGATCTATTGCAAGCGGTCTATTTCACAAAACTTTATGTTTCACAAAACTTTATGTTTCACAAAACTTTATGTTTTACAAAAGCTTGCAGTAGCCGGTATAAAAGTTTTCGTCACTTCAGTTCTGTGCGCTAGTAAGAAAGTAGTTCTTTTCGACGTAGAGATCGCTCAAAAGTATGGACAACAGAGTTAGACTAGTCACATAAAACTAAATGTCTACAAATAATTTTTTGTTACTGTCTACATAATGTAACCTCCAGAGTAACCAAAAACATTATTCACTGTTCGACAATTTTCACATTCATTTCTCGTGTGTATGCGCAATTTTATAGATCGAAAATAATGCAATAACAGATAGAGATAATACTTCTCCTAAAATTTTATTGTGTTAGATTTGAGTTACTCGTTTGCCTTGAGTCGCCAATGTTTGCGGATACTAGGCACCTGGCCCGATCCACATATTTCTTTGAACAATTTTCATCGAAACTTGAGATTCATGATTGTTGTGTGTATTCTAAGCTTTTACGTGTTCCTGCCGCAAATAATAAATACGATTCGTGCTTGGGGTAACGTGACTGTAATGGTGGAACAAGTCGCCTCCGCGAATCTCACTTTGTTGGCTTTCTGCAAATTGGTTGTGACACGATATCACGGTGAAAGTAAGTTATCGTTTTATTTACATCAATAAATGCCTATAAATACTGGATTACTTAATAAATTCATTAGAATTAAAAAAATTGATTTGACGCTTTTGTTAAGTGTAATTTTACTTCTCCCGTTTTCTTCTCGATGACTATTTGCCACATTGAAAGAATTTCTTATAAAAATTTCTATAAAACTAATATATATATATATATATATATATATATATATATATATATGCCTCAATTATTAAAAATTATTATTAGTAATTATTAACAGTTATTATTATTATTATTACTATTATTTATTATTATCAATTACTATAAAAAACATTTTTTATGAAATATTTTATGAAATATTATACGATGTACAGTTATTTAATAAAGTTATTATAAACTTAACACACGTTTAGTAATTTTTATGTTGATATATATGTATAAAGATGTTGAATGTCGCGTTGACAGTCATCATAGAATGATCTTCATATATATACATCTTGCTTTAGTAATTCTAAACAATGTATTTGTGATTTCGAAGCGCTTCAATCACTGATGTCATCGGTTACAACTGACTGGGCTACCACGAAGAGCAAATGGGAACGGGCTGCGATGCTAAAGATCGCGAGGCGTGGAAGAAGCCTGTCCTTCAAATGTTACGTGAGCGCTACGTGCACGATTACATTTTACGCATGTTTTCACCTCTTGATATTCTTTCGGAACATTCATCAGCCGCAACGGAGACTCCTCTACCAAATCACCTATCCCTTTAGCATCCAGAAGAGTCCGAACTATGAGATCACCTATTTCATTCAACTCGCTGGTGGCATATACGCTGTCTTCACGAACTGCGCCGTCGACAGCTTCGTCTCGATACTGCTGTTGCACGTATGTGCACAGCTAATAAATCTACGCATGACGCTTAACAAGCTGGTTGAGAAACTGGCCAACAAATCCATACTATCCTCCGAGTTCAAGAAGCGTCTGGCAGCAATCGTTATACGACACGCGGATCTCATCAGGTACGTCGGAGAACGTCCGCCAACGGTGCAATTGCGGTTGGCGTTGGCATATTGTGAAACGTTTATGCAGCAATAAAGAAGTTTATTTCGATGATAAGTAAGATTATCGAACTCAAATATCGACTTAAATATTGGAGTAAAAACGCAACTAGTTAATCGGAGTCAAAAGTTAGTAACTAGTTAATATAGGCTAGATTAAATTTTCTAGCTCGTTACTAACTCGTTATTAGCGTTATTGAAATGTAGTATTGGTGCCGTGATCTAGTCATTAAATTTACGTTATTTCATAAAAATCTTAAAGAAGTAGTAGTAAACATAACATATATATTATTAGCTATTTTAATTCATTTTTCATTTGTTTAGCTATAATTTCTTTTGTTTAGCCGTCAGGTATATCTATCTATATTCTAATTGAAGTTAGAGCGTTACTATTATATTGGCTAATAATGATGTTAGACATTGATTTATTATCTCGTGATTAGGTACGCCCATAAATTTTAATTTCTACTTTGGTATACCTAATAATTTGCTAATATATGACAAGCAAGTAATTCACTAATTTTCAAGGTATGTGAAGACAATCGACAACTGTTGCAGTGCGGTGTTATTTATACACATGATGGCCGCTACTTTTCAGCTGTGTTTCGAAACATTTCAAATTTTCACGGTAGGTGAAACAACACATGTACGTTTCATTTATAATCTTTGTGTGCCTCATAAATAATTGGCACTTAATAATAGTGATTAATCAAATGTGTGTCCGCTATGGTATTATAATATTATATCCATACCACATATAATTTTTAATATATTTGCTATGGATCTATGAATCCATAGATGTCGGCATATGAATACACCTGTGCGTCATGATCGTGTGTGTGTATGCCTGACAATTATCTAGTATATCATATAGAAATTTATGATCTGTACAGGATTACATCGGGTTTCATGTGTAATATTGCCTTAAGGGGAGGGTCAGATTGCCTAAAAATCGTGCTTATTTTTTCACAATTTTTTATGACAAACTGAATGAATATGCAAAAGTGTTATTTTGACGTGTATTTATACATATAAAGAGAAGGAAAATATAATTTTGATGATCAAATACTTAAATATATAACTATATAGTACATGTAGTTAAAATATATTTCGTTTTTCTTTCAAGGTTATTTTGTAATAATATCTTGATTCTTGATGGTTCAATTAAGCTGAATTTTAGATAGAAAATTTCCGTAAGCTTGTCGTTATTGTGTGAACTACTATAATAGAAATTGACTAAAAGTTAACAAAATTGCAAATATCTTAATGGAATATTATTAAATTTTCAGTTCTTTTATAATAAAAAATTATAATTTCAAAATTAAATACTTTCACAAGTTTTTCAGTGGTTCATACGATAACGATAAACTTACGGAAATTTTCTACCTAAAATTCAGCTTAATTAATTCAGCATCGAGAGTCAAGATATTACTGCAAAATGACGACCTTGAAAAGAAAAACGAAATATATTTTAACTGCATGTACCATGTACTTATATTTAATCATCAAAATTATATTTTTCTTCTCTTTATATGTTGTATAAATACACGTCAAAATAACATTTTCGCATATTCATTCAGTTTGTCATAAAAAATGGTGAAAAAACAAGCACGATTTTCAAGCAATCTGAGCCTTCAGTTATTAAACCCAGTTACCCTCTCTTAAAGTTATTTTACAATAACTTCATAATAATTAAAATAATTTCATTATTTCCAGAACATAGTCGACAACAACTCAGAGATATCTGTTATTAAAATGGTTGCCCTTCTGTTTTATGTCTCATTGGTGTTGACGCCTATGTACACTTATTGCTATTCAGCTGAAAGACTTTTAGCAGAGGTAAACAACAAATTGTAACCTTAATAATGACATGTGACATAATAATTGTGTGGACTTTAATTTACAGAGTACCGGAATGGCGTACGGCGTATACGAATGCCAATGGTACGATCTACCATCAAAGGATGCGAAGGAATTGATGTTTATCGTGTATCGATCTACGATTCCTCTTAAATTGACAGCTGGAAAATTCGCAACCTTCTCATTGGAGTTATTTGGGACGGTGAGATGTGTCAGGGAAAAGTACAATATTTTTTCTATATCACTCTTACACACAATGATATCATTTTCTTATATAAACTAGAAAGATTGTATAATTACCCTATTGTGTCATTTTATTTATTCGGTTATGATTTATAACAAATTTGAAAAAGTTTTTAGAAATAATCCATTATCTATTAATAAAGTAACTCGTTACCGTAACTGTTAATCATAAAAAAACCGTCAAAAATCAACGATTTGTTATAGTTTTTTTTTTTTTTATCAAATAATGAACGAATTTATAAGTTAGTGTCTAGTTTCTGTTGTAATAATTGGCGACTGCTATATTCCGACATGAAAATTGTGGTGATATCTTCAAGATA